CTCTTATGAAAATATTTCTGATGTGAAAATTGAAGATGAACTTAACTCTATTCAATTTTATTGTTCAAGCTATGACTTTAAAATGAAACATTTAATTTTACCCTTCCTAATTCAATGAGCTGATAAAATGATACAGTGTTTAACCAATGAGAAATTAATATGCACAACCTTGGTCCAGCGGTTAGGCTGTTGAGCTTGCAACCGAAAAGTTTTTGGTTCGAAGCCCAACGGGGCCCGACGTCGGGTCCATGGGAAAGGCGCGTTACACGAATTTTCCTCACTTCAACCATGTGGGAATGGGTACCCAGGTAGGAGCAGCAAAAGATCTGGTCTTTTTTAAATGCTCGAGCCCGTGTAATCTGTGTGCTTCCTGAAAAACTGGGAATGTCTCTAAGATCTGCTGGGGTGATATCGGTTGTAAATCGCATAGAGCGTAATGTTGAGCGTGGATATGCGCTATATAAGTGAAATTACTACTAATATCGTTTATAACCGTAACTATTTCGTTATGGAAAACTTGTTTAACAGTACACATCTTTTTTAAACTTCTATGATATGAATGCCATTTATAATGGATGTTGTTTTCACGGATGTCTCTTGTAATAGCAAAACACTGTGCATACTTTTGCTTTTACCTACCAACCTACCTACTTCCCTGCCTACCTACCTACCTACCTACCTACCTACCTACCTACCTACCTACCTACCTACCTACCTACCTACCTACCTACCTGCCTTCCTACCTACTACCTACCTACCTGCCTTCCTACTTACATAGTTACCTACTTACCTACCTGTCTATGAAGAGGTAAATATAATATGATAGTAATTTTTAAAAATATCTTCTTGCTTTTTTCGTGTATGCCTGTTTCAGTGTGCTCACTGCTGCGTATCTCAGAGGAAGATTTCCACTCAGCCTTGCTGGAAGATGTGATGATCGCCAGAGGTAAAGGTTTTGATTAGGAAAATGTCGTCTTTGTAGTCCTCGTTTTGTTTTGTCTGTGCTTGTTGCCTATGTTATTTATTGTAGATGCTTTACCCGCCCATATGAAACATGTTGAGCTAAAAAAATATTCTTAGGAAAGAAAAGAAAAGAAAAGAAGAAAAGCAAAGAATAGAAAAGAAGAAAAGAGAAGAAAAGAGAATCAAAGAGAATCAAAGAGAATCAAAGAGAAGAAAAGAAATGAAGAGAAGAAAAGGAAAGAAAATGAGAGAAGAAAAGAAAAGAAAAAAAAGAAAAAGAAAAGAAAGAAAAGGAAAGAAGAAAATAAAATAATTATGCCTTTTTTAATTTGCCTAAAAAGTTTCGCAGCACCGGTTTCTTTAATTGTATCATTTTGACTAGCAACTGGTCTCACCACGAAACCACACACATTAATACCTCCGTCAATCAACCCTCAGGAGAGCAGACCCACCGACCTCTGACCCCGGACCAGTCACGTGAGGCAGTGGACGCCCTGTCCCGGGCTCTCTACAGCCGTCTCTTCTCCTGGCTGGTCAACGGCCTCAACCAGATGGTCCAGGCCCCGCCGGACAGTGAGAGCGCCAGTCTGTCCGTGTCTGTGCTGGACGTTTTCGGGTTTGAGAATCTGGCGCAGAACGGGTTTGAGCAGGTAAGAACTTGGTGATGCGAGTACTTTCCTGCACTTTTGAGGTTGTGCAGGCTTGTTTCTTTAATTCTGTTACTGTTTTATTTGTAGGGGAAGATCTAGCTGCGGACTATCTTAGTCTTTGGCAACCAGTCTCTCTGCAAACGTAGACTACAAGATTTTAGTTAAAGTGTTGGGCAGTTTTATAGGTCAGCGTATGGAGAAAGAGCAAGTGGAATTTAAAAAAGGAAAGCTTAATTTCTCTTATCCACAAAGAACAAACATCCATAGAACAAACAAATCAACTAGAGTCCTCTCTGCAGTGGGTTTTAAACAGGTCTTTGATTCGATATTTCATAACATTTTCGGCCAGTCTGTCCATGTCTGTGCTAGACGTCTTCGGGTTTGAGAATCTGGCGCAGAACGGGTTTGAGCAGGTAAGAACTTGGTGATACGAGTAATTTCCCGCACTTTTGAGGTTGTGCAGGCTTGTTTCTTTGTTTCTGTTTCTTTTTTCTATGTGGAGGATTGATCTATCTGGGGACAACCTAAGTAATTGGCAACCAATGTCTCTGAAAACGTAGACTACAAGATTTTAGTTTAAGTGTTGGCTAGTTTTATAGGTGAGCGTATTGGAGAAACAGCAAACGAAGTTCAAGAACAGGAGGCTCAATTTCTCTTATCATGAAGTAGATGGACGATCTTTTAGGTCTTCATATTGCAAACAAATCAGCAAGAGTCCTCCCTGCAGTGGATTTTAAATAAGCCTTTGTTTCGATTATTCTTAGTTTTTCAAAAGCTTAGCTTTTATCGGCCAGTCTGTCCATGGCTCTGCTAGACGTCTTCAAATCTGAGAATTGGGTGCAAGAACGAATTTGAGCAGGTAGGAACTTGGGTGGTATTTTCCTGCATTTCTGACTTCGTGAACGCCTGTCTCTTTATTTCTTTTTCTTTTGTATGTAGGGAGGGGATATATCTACGGACAGTTTTAGGAACTGGCAGCCATTTTCTGTGGCAAACGTATACTGGACTTAAGCATGATAAAAAATATACTACCAGGTTTGGGTAATTTGTAAACGTCATAAATTTGATTTAAAGCCACCCAATCATTATTTTCATTCAAAATATGTCGAACATAGAACTCTATTTTTTAGAGAAAAAAATGTGACTTAAAATCTACTTTTCTAACCACTTGTACAGATGTGCATCAACGTGGCCAATGAGAGACTGCAGTCCTTCTACAACCAGCGCGTGTTTGAGGCGGAGATGAGAGACTGTATGAGCGAGGGAGTGCCCTACCCAGATGTCGTGTTACCTTCTGCGGACCAGGCAGTGCTCAACCTCTTTATGGCGGTCAGTTGGCTGTCCTCTCTTCCCCCCTTCCTTTTCTCTCTCTCTCTCTCTCTCTCTCTCTC